TAAACCATTCATACACATTTCTAAACCATTTTTATGGTAATATGAAAGGTTTACAAAGCAAATTAATCGTTCATTCCTGCTAATTTTGTTCTGTAACATGAATTTCAATGCTCACAGTGTAATCACACTTTTATTATTTTAGATCTATAATTCCAATTTGTGTTAAACTTTCTACACTTCTTTCTTTAGAGATATTGTGTTAGTCTATTTTTTTATATTGCCTTTTCTTTCACTTATTGTGTCTATTATCTGTTTACTAATTTTTACTTCCTTCTTCACCTCACATACTTTTGGCATGTTGTTAGGAGAAACCAATCCTTGAAAAAAGACTATCATGCTTGGAAAATTGGAGGGTCAGAGAAGGAGGGGAAGATCCTCAACAAGGTAGGTTGACACAGGGACTGTAACAATAGTCTCCAGTGAGGCAGAGATGATGAGAATAGGGCAGAGTTCAGATTTAATGTTCATAGTCAGGCTTAACTCGACAAATATCCAACAACAACAACTTTCCCCCCAGGGGACTTTCCCCCAGGGGAGTCTGGTGACTAAGTCCATAGGCAGCTGCTCTGCTAATTCAAAGGCCATGACTCTGTGATAGTTCCAATCCAACAATGACTCTGTGGAAGACAGACTGCAATCCCTTACTGTGAAATTTACAACCTAGGAAATCTAATGATGGTTTTGATCATAATCAGTAACGTCACTCCCTCCCTTCCCATCTCTGTAATCATCTAACAATGATTGTTTCTGTATGTAAACATTTATCTTTTTATAATCATACAACAACATGAAATATTTGTCTTTTTGTGACTGATTGACTTGATTCAGCATAACATCCCCCACCTTCATGCATTTCGTGCAGTTTTAGGTAATTCTTTATTGATTTAACTGTTGAATTATATTCCACTGTATAAACATACCACAATTTCTTTATCCATTCATCTGCTGTTGGACACTTGAGTTGTTTCTAGTTCTTTGCTATTGTAAATAATGCTGCAATAAATGTGTACATTTACATCGCAGCTCTTATTTCTTTAGGCTATATACCTAGTAGCAGAATTACTAAGTCAAAGTATATTTATATTTCCAATTTTTGAAGGAAGTGCCAAGCTGTTTTCCATAGTGGTTGTATCATTTTACATTCCTACTAGCAATGTATAAGAGCTCCAATCTTTCTACATCCTTGCCAGCATTTATTGTTTGCTATCCTTTTGAACTTTGCTATTGTTTGCAGGGTATGATAAGGGTTTTGTTGTTTTGATTTGTGTTTCTCTGACAACTAATGCTCTTGAACATTTATTCATGTTTTTGATGACCATCTGTATGTCCTTTTGGTAAAATGTCTTGCCATGACCTTTGCCCATTTTCTATTTGGGTTGTTTGGCTTCTTATTGTTGTTGTTGTAGAGTTGTTTCTGTTACAGAGTTTTCTATAAATTTTAGAGATAAATCGTTTCTCAGATATGACATTGCCAAATATTTTTCCCAGCTTATATTGTCTTTTTTCACTCCTTTTGAGGAGTTTTTTTGACAGACCAAAGAAGGATACATTCAGAAATTATGCACATAAGAATTTAGTTTTTAGAAGGTTTCAACCATCCTAGTTTAACCTCTGCTGATTGTGAAGTTTGGTTATATTTGATAATTTGTTTATGCCACAGATTAGGGATCCAAAGTTTGCTTCTACTTTTAATTTTATTATCTTTATAGTTTTAGGTTTTACACATAGGTCCACTGTGAATTAGCTTTTGTACATGATGTGAGGTATAGATACTATTCCAGTTTTCTCCAAAGCAATATCTAGTTTTGCCAGCACTATTGATTAAAGAAACTGGGTTTACCCATTCAATGGATTTCATCTCTTAAAAAAAACACGTGCCCATGTTGCAACCTTTGAGTCAGAACCATTTCATAACTCACCTTCCAAAGAATTTTCAAAGACTATGGTGGATTGAAACTTCATGGTTTTGAAGATACTTTTGAGTTTCTTTATAATATTTCTATTTTTCATCAACTGTGGTATATTGTGACACACCAAGAGTAGAAGAGTTTAATATGTTTTTTTTTAAAAATTTCTCTATTTTTCATTTCAATGAACATCTACAGAGATTTTGGAATTCCATTCATTCATTGTTGCACCCCTCTCCCCGCCCCCCCACCCCCGTTTGCTCCTCTCCTTCAAACGCAAAAGAAAAACTCCCTCATTGGTACGCAATCCCCCCCCACATCCCCGAACCCCCAAATATAATCCACTCTGCAACCCTCATTCTGTACTCTTACGATAAACATAATGCCCTAAAATATAAAATATTCTCTCCCCCAAAGACTTCAATGCCGTAAACATATTTCATCCAGTTAATATGTTTTAGAAAGAGTGCAGCCATCTTTGGATGATGGAGCTTCATCGCTCATACTTCAGACATGTTGCTAGGAAAAGCTACTCCTTTAAAAGGCTATCATGCTTAGAAAGGTAGAGGGTCAATGAGAGAAAGAAAAACCCTTAATGAGACAGATTGACATGGTTGACCGCAGTTATGGGCTCAAGTGTTTCAGAGATGATAATGTGGGTACAGAATGTTGTCCGTAGGGTCACTATGAGTCATACTTAACTTAATGGCACCTGGAGAAGAGTATAGAGGATACCATGGACTGCTAGGAAAACAAACAGATTCATCTTGGAAAGGGTCAAACCAGGTGGCTCCTTGGAGGCAAGGATTCTGAGCCTCCATCTAACATGCTTTGGACATGTTGTAAGGAGGGACTCGTCCTTGGCGAGGGACATCATGCTTCGGAGGGTGGAGGGACCGCAGGAGGGGAAGGCCCTCCATGAGGTGGATTGATTCAGTGACTGTGGTAATCTGGATGGGTATGTCGGAGATGGTGCAATTGGCACAGGACAGAGCAGAGTTTAGGGCTGTTGCACACAGGCTTGCTATGAGTCGCAAGTGACTTGATGGCACATAACAACAACAACAACACCAGAACAACTGTTGCTGTGGAGTTGTCTATCTCTATTCAAATCAGTTAAAATTGTATTTCTTTACTTTGGGCCGCTGTCATTGGATGTGTGGCTATTTGTCATAGTTACGTAGTCTTGTTCAGCTCATCATTAATCACATAAGTTCCTTCCATTTCTCTAAGCAAAAAAAGATTTGCCTTGAAGTGATTTTTTCCAGAAGTCATTATTTCTATTCTACTCTTTTTTGATTAACATTTGGCTTGATAGATTTTTCCACACTTTAATTTTTAGCCTCTATTTGACCTTGTCAACATCAGAGAGTTGGACAATGACTAAGGAGGATAGAAGGAGAATTGATGCCTTTGAGCTGTGGTGCTGGAGAAGAATACTGAGGGTACCATGGACTGCTAGGAAAACAAACAGATTCATCTTGGAAAGGTTCAAACCGGGCTGCTCCTTGGAGGCAAGGATTCTAAGGCTCCGTCTGAGATACTTTGGACATGTTACAAGGAGGGACTGGTCCTTGAAGAGGGACATCATGCTTGGTAGGGTGGAGGGACAGCGCAGGAGGGGAAGCCCCTCTACGAGGTGGATTGATTCAGTGACTGGGGTAATTGGGATGGGTGTGTCGGAGATGGTGTGATTGGCACAGGACAGAGCAGAGTTTAGGGCTGTTGTCCATAGGGTAGCTATGAGTCGCAAGTGACTCGATGGCACATAACAACAACAACAACATTTGACGCTGTGTAATGTGTGTCTCTTGTAGACAACATATTGATGAGTCATGTTTTCTTATTCATTCTCCTCCTACTTTTTTCTCTTGGCTGATGCATTTAAAGAAAGTGCTTAATCACTCACTTTCAGTGTTATTATCTATACATTTAGTTTTATTGCTGCCATTTTAATGTACTGTTTTTGTGGAGCAGCTGGTTTCTTCATTTCATCTACTTTTCTATGTTGAGGTTATTGTGTTTATGGCTTTTATTATCATTCTTTACCTTACAATTTTTATTAAGTATTTATATTTTTTCTTTGTAACCTTGTTCTTTAGTATGTGTGAATTGAAGTTATCTGTTGCCTTCAAGACAATATAGTGTTGGTGTGTTATTTGTTTTATTTTGTTTTGATATATCTGATTGAGCCATTTAAGTGTTCTACATAGCTTGCTAGTTTGGCAATTCTTAGCTTTTCATCTAACCTTCTGTTAAGTGTGACAGACTATGGAGGGCTTTACTTTTTGCTGTTTGTGTACAGCAATTAAAGGCAAAATGGGCTAGTGTTAGTTGTAATCTTTTGTCTTTCAGGTGGAATAAGAGCTGATCTTTACTTTTGCCCAAAGAGTAAAACTGTAGGATTTTTCCTTAGCTAGTGACTTAAAAGGTTTCTCACCAAGTATCCAAATCCTAATTTTTGTAAGATCCATCCCATCCCATTTTGTGTTTTAAAATAATTAAACTCATGAAAGTCAAACGTTTGTCAAACACTGTATGAAATGAATAGTCAAGAGTGAGTTACAGACCAATTAGTGTCTAACAATTAGTTGCAGATGTAGCTTTGTGGCTTATATTTTTAATACACAATTTCTGTTTTAAACTGATTCACCACTTACGTTAAAACATCATCTGACTTGTTAAGTCTTTAATAATTCATGATAAGTATTCATAATTCCCAGAAAAAGATCTTGGTTGTTTCCTAGGGGGATACATAATAAACCACTGTGTCCTTCATTTCTATTGAGTGGAGCATGACTCATAGTGACCCTGTGAACAAAAGGAACAAAGCCTTTTATAAGTATTGTCATTTATCAAAGTTCATAGTTTCCAGAGGCATGTTCTTTAGGAAGTGGATTCCACTCCGCTTCTAACATCCTGCCAGACAATTAACACTCAATTACCACGGGGAAAATGCATGGAATATTAAGATTAAGCTCACATACTGATGACTTAAAAAACATGTTATAATTATTTGACATCACAATGATTTATTATTCTTTGACATTTTCATATTTTTTTCCATCTCTAGCAAATAAAGATTTGCTGAGGATGAGGAGAGATAATCAAAGCAGCGTGTCTGAATTCCTCCTTCTGGGACTCCCTATCCAGCAGGAGCAGCAGGGCATAATTTTTGCCCTGTTTCTAATCATGTATATCTCCACGGTGTTGGGAAACCTGCTCATCATTCTGCTTATCAGGATAGATTCTCGCCTCCACACCCCCATGTACTTCTTCCTCAGCCATTTGGCCCTCACTGATGTATCTTTCTCATCAGTCATAGCCCCCAAAATGCTCATAAACATGCAGACGCAGAGTCAGTCCATCTCAAGAGCTGGGTGCCTTTCTCAGACTTATTTTTTCTTATTCTTTGGTACTATTGAAAGCCTCCTTCTCACTTCAATGGCCTATGACAGGTATGTGGCCATTTGTCACCCTCTGCACTACACTATCATCATGAGTCAGAGCCTCTGTTTCCTGCTAGTAATTGTGCCCTGGGTCCTATCTTTCGCCAATGCTTTGTTGCACACTCTACTCCTGGACTGCCTGTCCTTCTATAGAGAAAACACTCTCCATCACTTTTTCTGTGACCTCTCTGCTTTACTTAAGTTGTCCAGCTCGGACACTACAATCAATGAAATGGCTATTCTTACTGTAGGGGAGTTGGTCATCACCCTTCCTTTCATATGCATCCTGGTGTCTTATGGTTACATTGTGTCCACTATCTTGAGAGTTCCTTCAGTTAAAGGGATCTGCAAAACTTTATCCACTTGTGGTTCTCACCTCTCTGTGGTATCTTTGTACTACGGAGCAATTATTGGATTGTACATTATCCCCTCATCCAATGAATCCTCTGGCAAAGATATCATTGTAGCTGTGTTATATACTTTAGTCATTCCCATGTTAAATCCATTTATCTATAGTCTGAGAAATAAGGACATGAAAGGAGCTTTTCGAATTATATTCAGTAGAAGAAAGTTTTCACAATAATGTATACTGAATACACGCTAGTGTGACAAAGCATTTGCTTTGTTCAGTAAATTATTGGCAATAATAAAAATAGAGACTTGAAATCTGCTGGGAATTGCAACTTATTATTTCTTGCTTTTGAGACCCTGAGACCTTCATTTGAAGACATGCACACTAGTCTAATGAAGTTTTGAAGACTGCACAACGTGAGTGTACAGTTATCCCAACCATCATTGGCTGTATTGAGGGTCCATTAGAGATTAGTGAGACTCCCTAAGAAAAAAATTGTCCTGACCCAAATGGCTTCATAGGTGAACTCTACCAAACCTTCAGAGATGAACTATCACTAATTCGGCTTAAAATATTTCAGAAAATAGAAAAGGAAGAAACATTCCCACAGTCATTCTATATGCAAGCATAACTATAATACCAAAACCAAGCAAAGACATCACCCCCCCGCCAAACAACTATTGAATAATATATCTCATGAACATAGATTCAAAACCCCTTAACAAAATTCTGGTCAATAGAACCCAACAGTATATAAAAAATAGTCATAATGTATTTACCCACCTTTCAAAAAAAATTCATAATGACCAATAGGATTCATAACAGGTATGCAAGGATGGCTCAACGTAAGGAAAAGAATTAATATAACTTAGCACATTAATAAAGCAAAGAACAAGAACGCTGTGATCCTATCATTTGATGCAGAAAAAGCCTTTTGACAAACTATAACACCTTTTCCTGATTAAAACATTCAACAAAACAGCAATAGAGGGGAATTTCTTCAGCATAGTTAAAAGTGTGTGTGTGTGTGTGTGTATACACACACACACACACACACACACATATGCAAAATCAAGAATCAACATCATTCTTAATGGAGAAAGACTAATAGCATTGTAAGAGCTAGTTATGGCAATCAGTCAAGAGAAGGAAATAAGAGGTAACATTATATACTGCCTCTTAGCAAGGATATAAACCCAAATACTCATCAATCGGGAATAGATAAGCAAATAAGGGAACATACAAACACAATGGAATTCTAAAGAATAATGAATGCTTCTCAAAACACTGCAAAACATGAATGCATCTAGAGGACATAGACGTCAGTCACATAATGGCAATATTGAATGCCATTATTACAAAAAAAAGACTAAAGACTTAGTCACAGAAAATTTTTTTATCGTCATCAGAGAGGGGAAGAAAGGGAGAGAGAAGATAAAATCAGCAACTAGATAGTGTTTTACTATGCACAGTTGAGTTGACTATGACCCATAGTGACACTATCAATAGACAGTATATCTGAACCCTGCGCTCTGTAGGTTCACATTAAGATGAGGGGAAAGGAAAGGCAATCTACAATAAGGGTCAGCACAAAACCGTTAAAGAAAAAGAGAAGACACAGATTCAACAAAGATAAACACAGTTGCATACTCATGCATTATTAACAATAATAAAGCTTAATATTTATTTAGATTTATGCACAGTCAAGAGAAATAGACTTATCACAGTTTTCCTATTAAAGAACAGTCCTTCAATAAGTATTATTCTCAGGCATGCATTAAATGACTATATGAATGAAATTCTGCGAAGTATTTGTCCAGAGGAATAACTGCCCTGTAGGTCATGCTCGTGTTTTAATTAAATATATCTTCTACTCGATGGCACTTAACAGCAACAACAACCACTGCTTTTCTATAATAAACTAAAAATTCATTGTTTTTGAGTTGGAATTACCTTATAGCTGACACTTCAGTAAATTTTCAGAGACTGTAAATCATGCAGGTGAAGATTGCCCAGCTTTCTCCTTCACTACTGCTGGTGGATTTGAACCAGACAAATGTAGATTAGAGCAATTTTCTACAAATCACCCCACCAGAGTATTTATGTTAATTTTGCAAGTTTTTGTTAATTTACCTCATCATCAACAGCTGTTATTAACAGCACTATACTGGTACAATGAAACAGAATTGATAACTCAGAAATCAACCCATCTACCTATAGTCAATTGATATTTGACAAGAAAATAAAACTTATTAAAAGTGGAAATGAAAGAATCGTAAACAAATGGTTCTGGCAACAATGGCCATCTACATGCAGAAAACTGAAACAGGATCCACATCTTACACCACACACAAAAACCAACTTAATGTGGATTAGAGATCTAGCACAAAACTAAAAACCATCAAGATCCTCAGTGGAAAAAAAATAGGAACAAATTTAGAAGCTCTAGTTTATGAGTTGTCTATGACTTGCTAGCACTTAAAAACTAAACAATATCTCAGTCACAAAAGGACACTTGCATAGGGCCACTATTGTAAAACAGGACTGTCATTTGGGTTGAGGGAAGACCGAGAAGGAGGGGAGGAATGACGTATACTGCATTAAAACAGATGAGAGAACTATTTAAAAGGGATATATGATTGGGTATTGTTGTCATGACAGGAGTTCAGAATGAAGGCAGCAAGCACAGTGGAATGGCCTTGAAGGGAGGGATTTTATAACAATGAAAGAATTTTACTTTTCAATGAGAATAGTGAATTGGGGGGGAGGGGTAAACAGGGAGAAAAGTGCAACAATGAATAACTGGAAACCCTAAATCTCTGTAAACTTTATTAAAATTAATTAACCCCCCCCAAACAAAAAACCTTTTGAAGCCATAGCCTGTGGTATAGACTAGGTACATCCTAGTCTTATGGCATAGGGAGCTTAAGTGGCTGAGAGATAAGGTGCTGTGCTGCAATCCCAAAGGTTCACAACTCAAATCCACCAGCTACTCCATGGGAGAAAGTTAGGCAATCTTTCTGATTAAACTACCTTTGAAAACTCACTAGAGGGTCACCTATCAGTTGGTTATGACTTGAACAGTATACAACAACTACAGTCTATTGTATAAATAGACTTGCAAACATAGCTAAAAATGTATAACTGTAAGAAGGTAAAAATCAAGGAATGGGACTTTCTAAAAATCAAATCCCTGTGCTCATCAAAAATCTTTTTCCCAGTAGGGTGTAAGTGTCAGATCAAGCATCCTTCCCTCATCCACCTTCTAGCTTTTGAGTCCACGCACCCTACTTCTGGCAACCTTCAGAGCTGGCAGGAATTCCTTGTGAGGGGAATGAGAATCCCAAGCAGTTGATTTCTAGGCCATCAGAATCCACTTCTGAGACTAAGCATTCTGCCCTTAGTCTCTACTCAGATGAGCACGAATCACTTCTGATGGACAGGGAACCTTGCCCGCTGACTGACAGACCACAGAATAAACCTCTAGACCCAGGTACCTTGCCCCTCGCCTGCATGAACTCCTCCATAGCATGAACTCTGTCCAGGTTCCATCTTATCCTTCCCCAACCTTTTCTGTTTTCATTTATTTTCTTGTTTCTTGTTACTTCTTTTTATCTTCTTTTAAACCTTATCTTTGCATATTCCTCCTCCCTTCAACACCCTCGTATTTGGTTTTTATGCTTTGAGGGTTTTATCCTGTTTTTCTTTTTAAAATCCTTTCTTTTCCATTTATTTTAAACTTTTAAGATTTTTTTTCTCTCCATTTTATTTTATATTGGTTTGCGCACAATTTTTTTTTTTTTTAAAAAACACAGAACGAACTTCTTTAATTTCATTAGACATTGGGATAAACTCTTGCAATTAATTTAGTTAAAGAGAAAGTTATATACTGCTAAAAAGGAATTGGTTAATCAACTAGCACTTAATTTTATTTTTTGATTAATAGGCAGTGTCTGAGAAAAATATTAAACATTTTATAAGATGAAATAAGCAAAATTTTTAATACATCTGTCACTCACATACACTGTGTTTCACACATTCCTACATTCACATTGTGTCTCAAATGATCACTCATGTACATTATGCTTTATAAAATTAATCACCTTTGATCTATGTCCATGATTACCCTGTTTTTTCAGGTCTCCATTGGATCTTTCCTATTTCCTTAGCCCCCCAGCCCCCTCCATTCACCAAATTATTATTCTAGCAATTTCAACTTCTCAACCTCTGGCCTCTGCCCCCCCCTTCCCCTTTTGGACTTTTATCCCCATCTTACTAGTTATCCTTCTATTTTTGCAACATTGGTCTTATGCAATACTTTTTAAAATATTTTTATCTTGTTGTGAACACTTTTTCTTATTTAACACTCCCCCTATTTCCCTCTCTCACCTGTCTATCTATCTATCTATCTATCTATCTATCTATCTATCTATCTATCTATCCATCCATCCGCCCACCCACCCATGTCTCACTTATTTCACTTGGTAAGGGTCAGAAGCTGTATCCACACTGCCCAGATACACTTGTACCATCTACAGTTCCACGCACTGGTTAAGGTTGCCACTCTTTCCTGTGTGACTTGATCAGTGAGACAAAGGCTGTATAGAAAGACAACTACAAATCATTATGGGGAGCTCTGTTGACTTGTCATCATGTGCTTTCAAGTTGGAACTGACTCGTAGTGGATTTTCAGAGGCAATAAATCACATGGGAGGAGACTGATCATCCTTTTCCCATAGAGCATCTAGTGGATTTGAACTGCATGCCATTGGGATTGAAGCATAGTTTATTACTATCAACCCAAAGGTATGTGGTCGGAATCCACTAGATGCTTCATGGGATGAAAGAGGTGCAGTCTCCTCTCGTGCAATTTACTACCTCTGAAAACCTGTTGAAAGGTCATCTCTGGGTGGATTCTGACTTGATGGCACACACAGCAACAACAAAGCACTACTGTAATAAACCAAAGGAGACCTATATAAATGGAAAAGCAGAGACTTGATATTTGTGAAAATACCAAAATTAACCAAAGTCGTCTATACATAATCAAAACCATCTCTATTTTCAGGTTGGTAAGGAGCATGCTGACAACTCAAAGGCACGTGGTTTAAATCTACTAGCTTCTCCATAGAAGAAAGATTGGCAATCTTTTCCCATGTGATATACGGTCTCTGAAAACCCACTGGAGCGTCAGCTATCAGTTCCAACTTAATGTCATATAACAACAATTATATACATAAAAAATTCTAAAGACTCAGCAAGAAAATTACTTGATCTAAATGACTGATTTACCAGGGTAAATCAGCATATTCAATCAGCAGGGTACAAGATCAGCATATAAAATCAGTCTGGTCCCTCTCCAGTTAAAAAGAGAATTTGAACAAAGAAATAAAGGAAGCAATACAGGTGCCACTCAAAGATTAAATGTTTAAGAACAAATTTAACCAAAGATGCAAAACATATACAAAAGAAAGCTACAAAACACCACTACAAGAAACACAAGCGATCTACATAACTGGGATGATATATCATGCTTGTAGATCAGGAGACTTAACATTGCAAAAGCAGTGTCAAGAGCAATTTACAGATATAATACAATCTCTATGCAGATCCTGTCATCTTTTTCCAAACAGATTTTAAAAAGGGGTCACCAACTTTATATGAAAAGGAAAAGAACCTCAGATAAAAAAGTGCTACTGAAGAAGAAAAATGAAAGAGGTAGCCTTAGGCTTCCTGATCTCAAAATCTGCTGAACAGTCACATCATCAAAATAGTTTTATTACTGTTACAGTGACTGATATATAGCCCAATATAATAGAATTTAGAACCCAGAAATAAATCCAGCCACTTATAGACAGCTGATCTTTGACAACCCATTACGTGAAGGGAAAAACAGCCTCTACAATTTCTAACACTTTGGTCCTACTGACAGATATTTTTTCCCAGGCCTGTTGCTGCTCTACTGCTAGGTCTACTAATACACTGCAATGACTTCACAGAACTCACAGAACCATATTCACACTTATAATGTTTATTGTGCACTTGTAACAGGTTACAACTCAAGTTGACAACAGGATACAATTCTCCAGTCAGGTCAGCTTCTCAAGAATGTTTTTAGACCACCCTTCAACCTTCAGCTTCAAGGCTTTAGGCCAATGTCAAAAAGCTCTCTTGTTGTTGTTGTTGTTGTTATGTGCCACTGAGTCGCTTGCGACTCACAGTGACCCTGTTATGTACAAGAGCCCTAAACCCTGCTCTATCCTGTTCTAGCCTCACTGTCTCTAACATACCTATTCCCATTACACCAATCACTGAATTGATTGCTTTGTCCCTCAATCCTCCCAAACATGATGTCCCTCTCCAAGGATTGGTCACTCCTTGCAACATGCCTAAAGCATGTCAGAAGAAGCTTCAGAATCCTTGCTTCCAAGGAGCAGCCCAGTTTCACCCTCTCCAGGACAAACCTGTTTGTTCTCCTAGCAGTCCATGGTATATTCAACACTCTTTTCCAGCACCACAGGTCAAAGACATCAATTATCTTTCTAGTATCACTAGTCATTGTCAAGCTTTCTGATGTATAGTACACAACTGCGAAGACTATAGCCTGGATCAGGCACACCTTAGTCTCCAGTCTGACGTCATTGCTCTTCAGTACTCTAGAGAGGTTCCTGACAGCTGACTTTCCCAGTGCAATTCATCTCTTAATTTCTTGGCTGCTGGTACCTAGATTGATTGTGGAGCCAAGCCAATGAAAACTGTTAACAATCTCAGTTTCTTCACCATCCATTATGATGCTGCCAATTGGCCCAGTGGTGAGAATCTTTGTTTTCTTGATGTTGAGCTTAAATCCATATTGAAGGCTTAGTCCTGAAAATTATGGTGTCTCCCCTCACCAGTCCTCCTGCAAGCTTGGGCAAAGGTCCTTGACTCTACCTCCATGGACTAGCTGTCCCACATCAACTCTGTCTTATATTAGTCTCTGATTCCTCATTGCTACTGCTGCTGCTTTTTTCCAGGTGCCAGTCTGATTGGTGCAAGAATTTCTGGCCCTGAAGGATAGGCACTGCATTTTTTTCTTTTTTCTTTGTTTCCTTGTTCTTGATTCTGAATTCTACCATGAAACCTTCACAGTTTACACCTGGTGAGATGGCAAATCTGGCCAATCCCCTCATCAATAGTGTACTTACCTATTTGCATGTTCTCACCCAGTCGTGTGTCAAAAGTCAAAGGCAATGGCCTTTGGAACAATAGGCCTACTGTAACACACTATGGGAGATCCACATTATACTATCACAGGAGTATCAACTACTGTGATTTCTACAAAGCTCCTCTTATATTAAATTCTGGGTTATGTGTTTCTACTTCTTTTCTATTGGAAATACATATTGCATTGCAAAACCATCTTTACATGACATGGGAAGATTTTTTTTTTGGTTACTTGCATATATTGAGAATGAAGCCTTTTGTTTTTTTGTGGTTGGTTTTTTAAAATTGTGATTTGAGACAAAGCCTTGAGGTCAGTGATTTTTTTTTTTAATTTTTTTTTTAGGTTAGTGATTGTTAAAGAACTTTCGGAAAAAATTTCATTGGGTAGATTTGAATCACCAATCTTTAGCCTAAGTCAGAACCAACCCATAGCTAACCCTCTAGCAGGTTTTCAGAGACAGTAAATGGCATGGGAGGAGATTTCCCATCTTGCTACCTAGGGACTTACATAACTTGGAGCTAAATATAAAATTCTCTACTAAGCTTGGCGTGAGGAGGAAAGCACTCCCCTCTTTGTTGGAAAGGATTAGGGTTCACTGAACAGCTTTCTTCAAAAGATCCTCAGTTATCTTCAGCTCTTACTCTTCTTTTGATCCACATCTGCTCTGAAAACTTCAAGGCTTATAAAAGTGATTATTGGATATTTTCTATAAGCACATTTTATATCTACTGGTAACTACTGGTGTTACTTAGTGTCTATTAAATTTTTGTCTGTCAGTTAATACTTCTAGTTTAATATATTGACACATGTTGAACCCTGTCTTTGTAGCCAGCAGAACAAAACAGAACTTTTTTTGTCTGAATAATTTGTATTATATGAAGCTCAGGTAAAGTAATGTTCTCTGGGAAATACTTCATACTCTCTACTTAGATTGTACTAATTATCTCTAATCATAGCAGACACAGTAATCTGTATAAATGGTTATTTTATGTGCGCAGTTGAATCATTCTGCAATCAGACAGTCAATGTTTCACTACCTTTGTGATCTTAAGATGCTTCTCACCTCTTTAAGCTTGATTTTTCCCAGCTTGCATCATACAGTTGCTGTCAGGATTAAATTATTATATTATTTTAATGCATGTCAAGTTCTTAGGTAAATGCTTAAGATACCTGATGCTGAATATTTATTTGCATGTATTTGAGGAGAATGACAGGTTGGACTGTATTCATGAAAGACAAGAAAGTATTAATGATCATATAAGAGTAAAGTTTAACATGTTCTTCTTTGAAGGATGTAGAGTGACTGGTTGCATGCTTGCCTAATTGAACTAGAGGGATATATTGTAGTAATATAAAAAAATAGAAAAATCCTTAGAAATGGAGGGCTGGAAAGTTAACTATGTTTTATAAAAAAAATAAAAACTTGGAGGTGAATCAGTACTGAAATAAACCACATCTGTTGCTTGTTGAGTCAATTTTTATTCATAGGGCCCGATATCTTATATAATAGAACTGTCCCATGGAGGGTTTTGTTTGTTTGTTTGTTTTTTGCTATAATCTATATTACAGGACACCAAGATTTCTTTCTATGAATCCTTTGACTCAAACTGCCTGTATTTAGGATAGAAGTTGATGACAACAGTGAAACAATGTTCTCAAAGCATTAAAAAAACCCACACACACACCAAAACATGAGCAAATAAAGTCCTACAAGATACAGTCACTTTATTATACTCTCTAATAGGTTCAAGGATTAAGTTAGCAAAGCATTTCTGAATGTCATCAATGGGCACAAGTGAACTGTATAATAATTTGTATTTTCGATTGAGGGAATAAGATCATGTGGCTAAAAAAGGAAATTTTAATTGGAAGAATATGTTTTCTTACTTAAGAGTTTTCTCAAGGCTCCTTTCATGTCTTTATTTCTCAGGCTGTAAATGAAGGGGTTCAGCATGGGAGTGACTACTGTGTACATCACTGAAGCAATTATGTTATTATCATCGGTATTGCTGGGAGAGGGAAGAAAATAGAGACCAATAATTGAACCATAATAGAGAGTCACTACTGAAAGATGGGATCCACAAGTGGACAGCGCTTTGCGGATCCCTTTGGTAGAAGGGACCCGAAGGATGGTGGCCCCAATTCGGCCATAAGAAACCAGAATGCATAAGAATGGAACCATAATGGCCATCAATCCTGCAGTAAATATTACCAATTGGTTAATGGAAGTGTCTGAGCAGGACAATTTAAGCAGGGCAGCCAGGTCACAGAAGAAGTGGGGAATAATGTTATCAGCACAGAAAGACAGTCGAGCCAGGAGGAGAGTATGCAAAAGAGCGCAAGAGCAGGCAATGATCCAGGACCCAACCACCAGCATAACACAAAGACTCTGACCCATAATGGTATTATAATGGAGAGGGTGACAGATAGCCACATACCTGTCATAGGCCATGGATGTGATAAGGAAGCTGTCTAAGTCAGCAAAGAGTATAAAAAAGTATGTCTGTGAAATGCACCCTTCATAAGATATGGATTGATCCTGGGTCTGCATGTTCTTCAGCATCTTTGGAACAGTTACAGATGAGAAAATAGTATCAGTGAGGGCCAAGTGGCTGAGGAAGAAGTACATGGGGGTGTGGAGGCGAGAGTCCAGCCTGATGAGCAGGATGATGAGCAGGTTCCCCAGCACCGTGGTGAGGTACATGCCCAGGAACAGGGCAAAGAACACGCCCTGCTGCTCTGGCCGGATGGGGAGCCCCAGCAGGAAAAATTCAGACACAGTGCTCTGGTTCTCTTTCCTCATACTGCTATGTAAACTGGAAGGTGGAAAACTTTTGAGGGAAAAGCAGAATGTCTCCAGATAAGAAATGCCAAATGTCTTATAGAATAGTAGAGATGTCCTTTTGACTTAGAAATGGTTTTCTTCCATATTTTCTTATATATGTCAAATATTTTGTTGCATTAATGAAGAGTTGTAGGTTTATGTTCTATAACTACTTTCTTTTTCAATTTAATCTTAATCTCTGTAAATCATAATAATAGTTAATAGTTTTACATGTTGATCTTATTCAATCTTCTAATAGTTCACATGCAGTAACTTAAATATGTAGTCTTCTACCTGTAAAATTGCTGTTACTTGTCACCAATTATGACTCATGACTAAATGTTGTTTTTATGTACCATCAAGTCATAAGCAACTTGCTGACCCACCAGCAGAATTTCAGAGGCAGTAAATTTCACAGGAGGAGATTGCCCATCTTTCTCAATTGGAGCAACTGGTGGGTTCCAACTACATGTCTTCTGGTTGGCAATGCAGCTCTTTATCACTAGGGCACCAAAAAGGTGGTATTATTTCGACTTTCCAAGTGGGATGTCTAAAATAAAAAAAATTGCACAGTTGCAGAAATAAGAGAAGATGCTGAGATTTGAAGCCAAGATTTTGATTCATGGGTTTGTTCTCTGTAAGCAAAACAATTGACCTGATGATAAAGATGTCATTGCCATTCATAAGATTTTCTTACTCATCAAGTCTCCCCTATTTGTCTATGTATTCCATAATTAGTTCTAACTTGTTCATTGGTTGTAGACCTAGAATTTATTATATGGGAGCTCTGGGGGCTTAGTGCTGTCAGTGCAAAGTTATGAAGCTCAAATTTACCGGCTGCTTTATGGGAGAAAGATGGGCAATCTCCTCCCACGTGATTTACTGCCTCTGAAAACTCACTGGAGGGTCAGCTACAGGTTGTTGGGCATGAGTCATAGCCACCCTAGAAGCCTTCTATAACTATCTTCGTTTCTCTAATTTCTTAGAGTTTCCAGAGGCATGTAGTTTAGGAAGTGGATGCCATTCCTGCTTCCAAACCTTAATCAATCTGGGAGCTCCACCAAACACTGCCCACAATGGGTAGCCATTATGGTGTTTGGCACAACTATGGCACAGTTGTTCCATTATGGCATTTGAGACTCCAGTGGCACAAGGTTCAGTGCCAAAGCAAACTCAGATTACCTCAGCACTACAAATTGACCAGAGTGCTGTCCCTTAGGCCCAACTTTTTAATATAAGGGTCCTTATTGACTCTAAACAAGAGGCTTAAATAAAAAACAACCACACAATCCACACAGATCCTCAATCAAAACAAGAGCACAATCTTACAGAGTCCATCCACTTCACCCAACTCCAAAATGGAGACAAGGGCCTGGCTTTATATGTTGTTGTTAAATGTCATCAAGTAGCAACCTTATAAACAAAAGACCTTAACCCTGTTCTATAACTATTGTCCTCTCATTATATATGTTAAATACATAAATACATATACATTCAACCATATATATAACTATATATATAAAATACATATAGCAGACTACAAGTATCTTCTGGCAGGTTTTTAGAGGCAGTTAATCGCAAGGAGGAGATTACCCATCCTTCTCCCATAGGGTAGCTGGTAGCCTCAAATTGTGTGCAGCTTCTTGCCACTAGGCCATCAGAGTTTGTATAGTTATATATAATTATAATACAGATATATAATATTATATATAATATCGTAATTATACTATATAATGATAATATTACATATAATTATATACAAGATATATTGTTGTTGCTGTCTGGTGCCATTGATTCAAGCGTGACTCACAGTGATCCTGTGAACAACAAATCTGAAACTAGTCCTATCATGTCTGATACACTTGAATCTACTGCTGCAGTCACTGTGTCATCTCATATTATTGGTATCTGTGTGTATGTACGTGTGTGTGTATATATATATATATATACACACACACACTATATATATACACACACACCCCATATGTATAAATATATATAATTATTACATTAGACATTAAAATGTCATATATATGTATATGTGTATATGTGTATATGTGTATGTGTATGTATGTATAGAAGATGGAAGGAATATACTGAGTCATAGTATCGAAAAGAATTGACAGATACAGAAGAATTTAATGAAATAACATTTGAGCAAGAGCCTATGGTGATGAAGGAAGAAGTTCAAGCTCCTTTGAAGGAAAGAGCAAAAAATAAGGCCCCAGGAATAGATGGTATACTAATTGACGTATTTCAGCTAACAGATGCTACCCCGGATATGCTCATCAAGTTGTGCCAAGAAATCTGGGGAACAGCCACTTGGCCAACTGACTGGAAGAGATCTATATTTGTTCCCATTCCAAAGAAGGGTGACCCAATAGAGTGTGGAAACTATAAAACATTATCGTTGATTTCACATGCAAGCAAGATTCTACTGAAGATTATCCAAAAA